CAAGGTTGAGTAAGGATATTGTTGATGTGTTGTGAGATTGTTAACCATTATAGGGCAACATTTGTAGTAACTGTTAAATGAGAAACTATTTTGTTCCGTAAGCCGTCATCTTAAGTGAGAATAACAGCACAATGGGAAGAGCGTAGTCAATGTCACTGAACTGTGCATGTAGAAATTTTTGAAATAGTGTATCTTTGGCTATGTGTATTTTCACCAAAACAAAAGGTTGTGAAGTTAGAGGGTTGACATGTTGTGGGGTTGTTTACCAATGTCATAAAACATGTGTACTACTGTTTCATGAGAAACTCTTTGTTCTGTAAGCCTTCACCTGAAGTACAATTAAAAAAAAAAAAAGTGGATGCCCAACAAAAAAGAAGGTCTACTTTGTGACACAAACTTGTAGTCATTTCTTAACATGAAAACTCTACTTTTAGGCAGCCTCATCATTCTATGCACCAGAAAAAAACACGCTGTCCTCTCAGAAGTTCCCTCAGGTCAGTTATGTCTCGGTTCTCTTCTGTGACCTAAGTCCCATGATTCCTGACTAATTTCCAATGAAACGTTCATAAAGAAGTACAATTAACATTGTTACATCTGGCCTTGAGTCAGCTTTCTGTAGCATCTGTTTTCTCCTCAAGCAACATTCACTTGAAATTTTTTTGATAGGACAGGAGAACAGAGTGAATGCTTCCCTCATTGCACAGGCCAAGGAAGTAACAGCAGAGAGTGAGAGGGAATGTTCCAAGACGCCCCATCTCCCCAGGCCTCTATTTCAGGCTGCCATTACCAAAAGGGAACCAGCACGGGGCAAAATAAGTGAACCTCAAAGGAATAAAAGTCTTACTTACGGACACACATTTCCCTGCTTTCATAAAATCCAGGACAGCACTGGGATTTGCGCCTATACATAGTTTTTTCCCCGTGTCGATAGGCTGTTCGGTAACTGATTCTACATAAAGGGGAAAAAAAATCACATTGTTACTTCTTTAGAACTGCGATTTGATCAGAAATAAAGAATTCATATTTTAATACAAAAGAACTATTAAATATAATAAAGACATGGAAAGCAAAGAACTCCAAAATAAATAAGAAGAAACATGGTATACATGTTGACCAATACTAACACTTATCAATTTAGCTCAGAATACATTAATATTCCCAATTTCAGCCAATCTATAGCTTATTTCAAAGGGATCAGAAATTTCATGATTTCCCTACCTCACTTATCTTGAGATATCTTCATATGATATTTTCATATGATACTATTCTAATCAGCATTCAATTACATATGTTTTAAAGGAAAATTTCAGAGAAATCCCTCTAAAAGTCTGGCTCAATGCAGTCTCATTCCATTATAAAACAGAAGGCTGATAGACAAAAGACCTTTCCTTTTAAGTATAATCTCATTCATTCATTGATTTATTACACTCATGTTTATTGAGCACTTACTATATTCCAGGCACTGCTGCACTGGGGAAATAGCAAAACAATATAAAGTCTTTTGCCCACAAGGAACTTACATGCTACTATAAAGACAGACACAGTAGAATTTGTTTAAAGAAAGACAGACATTAAAAGAATAAATATATCATATCATGGCTGGTAATGCTTAAAAGCCTGAGTAAGGGAATGGAATGTGATGGGGAGGAGGTGGTAGTTTACACAGAGTGATCAACGACAGTTTATCTGAAGAAATGACATTGAGCATAACATCAATTAGTGTAGTATAAGTCAGCAGGTGCCACACTCAACCCCGAACTCGTACTACCATAAATCTTTTACTAATAAAATTAGGATATTAGGATTTCCTTCCATATTAACATTAATATTGAATAATACTTCGTTTTTCTTTTCTGTTTTCACATTTATAGAAAAAAAATCTATGGCTTTTTTCCTTTTAACGTTTTATTGTGCTTAGGTGAAAGTTTATATAGAAAATTAATTTTCCAATCAATGGTTCTTACACAAATTGTTTCACAATATTGATCGTAATCTCCACAATGTGTCGGCACTCTCCCCATTTACTCCCTGGGTTCTCCGTTTCCATTAGTCTGGTTTCCCTGTCCTTCGCTGTCTTCTCATCTTTGGGCTTTTTTCTTAAGGGTCACATTTAAGCTAACCTAAAATGAGTCAGATGTTCAATTACAAACATATGCCGGAATTTCATGATATCCATTTTTAAGAGTGTCTCCCCCAGTTATGCATATAACACACAAAAGGTGTTTGAATTGTTCTGAACCAAACGGCAAACAGTAGACATTTCCTCTGCAGTTAGATTATAGGCTCCTTAAGGGCCTTTTTGCTTTGCTATCCCCGCTGTGGTCTGGAACAAAGCTAGGACAACAGCAAGCACTCAGTAACCATTCACTGAATGAAAGGATGCATGTTCTCAAGTATCTAATATCTCTGATTGTATCAAACTCCATTCCCAGCTAGCCAAGCTCATAAATATATTTGAACCCCATTACCTGTGCCGCGTGCATTTAAACCAGTTTAGAATGTCAGTGCAGCTAGTGTAGTAAATTTGATCGAAGGGATGTGGGTATGATTCCTGCACAGTCACTGAGTAGCTGAAAAGAAAAGGAAAACTAATCAGTACTTGTCTTTCTTACACAAATGATATACTATGTACTCAGAAGGGAGTGTAGGCTAAATTATCTCCATTAACAACTCCATACTGAATTTTAACAGAGAATCTCTTTTTTTTTTATACAGGTTTTCATTTGAACTAGAACTCTGAAAGTCTCAAAATTAATAATACACTTAAAAGACAATGGATCATGCTATAAATTTCCAAAAAAACTCTCTTTTCCTATTCACCACAAAGCTTTATACTCCCCAATTGTAAAATACATCACTCTATTTTTTTTTTTTTTTTCTGAATTTAATTCCCTCCCTTTGTCCTATGGCTCCAGGGATAACAAAGACCTTTCATAAAAAGTTTGCAATCAAAGTCTGCATGCAAATAACAAGGTTAATCAGCAAAAAGACAACTCAAGTATTCATAACAGAGTACATTTTGCTACTAATTCTGAAAAATAAGAAAGAGCCTATTTCCCTGGTTGGCACTTGGAATAATTTGCTTTCATGGGTCTGCTTTACTTCTCAGGCAGTGGAAGAACATCTACAGTCTCTAAATAAAATCTGCAAAGAAGTCTTTAAACCCTGTGCTAAACTTATGACTGAGATAATTAGCCTGACATCATCATACTGACAGCCTGCTGCTACTCAGTCTGCTTTTCCCCCATACATTTTCACTAACAGCTTCTTGTTAGAGTAAAAACATGCAATCCTAATGGGCCTTAGAATGTGGGTGAAAAACATGAATGAAAGAGTATCCAATGTGCAATCTCACACTTTTTAATCTTAAACAGTCGATCACATGCTCCAGAGCTTAGTTATGCCTACACGAAAAACTGGAGAATCCTGGTTTTTGAAACAATTCATTCTATTTTCTTTAACACTCTCTTAAAGATTTCCACTAAAATATTCAATCCACACTGACAAACAAAATGGACCACAATCACAGACTCACTCGCTGCAAATCAATAGCCCAATAGTTTATTAACATAAACTGTCAACTGGAGAAGGTACTGAGGGAATTAGGTTAAAATTTCAGCCGGAATTCAGGTTAGACACAGAGTAGAACCTTCTTATTTGGAAAGGTGCTGGCCTCACAAAAGGTGAAATTTCATTCTGCAGCTGGTCTCGGGTAGTCATTACATAGTTCGGCTTCAATATGGAATCCATGGAATAACCATCCTATTCATATTTTTGTGTATTCAATTATTTGGTACACTGCAATTTGATTTCCAGGTAAATTTACAAATCCTCCACAAAGCTTGGAGTCCCTGGGTAGTGCAAACAGTTAATGCACTTGGCTGCTAACCCAAAGGTTGGAGGTTTGAGTCCACCCAGAAGTGTCTTAGAAGAAAGGCCTGGCAATCTGATTCCAAAAAATCAGCCATTGAAAACCCTATGGAGCACAGTTCTGTTCTGACACACGAGGTGTCTCCACGAGTCAGAATCACCTGGATGGCAGCTGAACAAAAAAACCCACAAATCTTAAGTAGATGAAGCAAGCCCTATTAAAAAACCAGTGAACTAGAAAAAGCCAGAATTATAGTCCTGATCCGACACTGAGAAACTGGGTTGACCTTGAGCAGGTAACCTCGCTTCTCTGGTTCTTGATAATCATGTCTTAAAACAGGGGAGTCAGAGATGGTCTTGAAGATCCCTTCCCACTTGGCAGTCTGAGTTTCTAACATGCACTTTAGATGACTACTTACTTCTACCCCAACAGATACCTGTTGCTACCTGCAAGAATGGGTTCAGGAGGGTAAAGAGTGTAATTGCCTACATACCGTGATGAATCTCCTTTGGGGTAAAGCAAGGGCCTGCGTTAAAATATAAATGTTCTTGGGCTGACATATCACATTAAGCTATTAAAATTGTCTTCACACCCCTAGCGGTGCCCTGAGGTACAGGTTGATGCAAATTCTAAGACTTCCTTGCAACTTTTTTCCTTCCTATCCAGCTGCTTGTCAATAACTGAATCTTGAAGCCTGCACTGTTATTTATCCTTTCCATTGCTAGTGGAGAGCAAAGCGAATGAATGTCCTTTGTGAATGGAAATGCTATATAGGTACAGTCCTGCATCACCCACAAGCAAATAGAGCAACCTCTCCCCGCCAGCCACCCGACCCCACACCATGTGCAATAGGAATGAAATTAAATTAACCAGGCCAGTCGGGGAGAGAAAGTTATTCTAGCAGGCTCTACGGTACCAATTTAACTGAACGAAATTATTTTGTTGGAACTAGATCTGATGCAGCATTTCCAGAAAATTTCAACAGCCATGTTATAATGTTAAGGCCTGTGTGCCTTGCACAGCAGAAGTGATAATCAACTAACATATTCTGGCCAATTCTATTTGATGCGGACAGGAAAAATGACTCAGAAACGATGAAACTGGTTCCACAAAAAACAGGACAATTTTCTTTCCTACAAATTTCTAGTAGCCTGGAAGACTCCTAATTAAGAGGAAATGTTAACACACATAAATTCTTCTTCTTGCCACTTGCTCACCGACAGCACACATTTGCAGGATGCATCTCTGGGTTAAGAGCTCAGCTGCTAACTGAAAGGTCAGCAGTTGGAATCCAGCAGCCGGTCCTTGGAAACACTATGGGGCAGTTCTACTCTGTCCTACAGGGTTGCTATGAGTCAGAATCAACTCAACGGCATCGGGTTTAGTTTGGTTTGGCTTCTCTATCAACCACCACCTGTCTGTTAGTTTATCATACTGTGGTGATTTGTGTGTTGCTATGATGTTGGAAGCTACGCTACTGTTGTTTCAAATACCAGCAGGGTCAACCATTGTGGACAGGTTGCAGTGGAGCTTCCAGACTAGGAAGAAAAGCCTGGCAATCGACTTCTGAAAATTAGCCAATAACAACCCTATGGATCACAAAAGAATATTGTCTGATATAGTGCTGGAAGATGAGGCCCCTAGGTTGGAAGGCGCTCATGAAGATGGAGCAGGACTGGGCAACGTTTCATTCTGTTCTATGTGGGGTTGCCATGTGTCAGAGTCAACTCAATGGCAGCTAACCACTTCTCTATCAAAGGGCAATCAATCATTTAGGATTCCAAATTCAGTAAACATTTATTGAGCAACTTCTATGCAACTCCTGCCTTCAAAGAGCCCTGGTGAGAGAGGCAGACACATAAATAACCAAACTATAGTGTAATATGGCTAAAATGGAGAAAGGTATACAGTTTGGAGAAAATACAGTAAAAACTGCAAAAGCCAGAACCTGTGTAAGGCAGAAACCTGTTAGAAAAGGAAAACTCAAATATTTTCCATTAAAACTAGCAATAGAAAAGTGGTAAGACTTCACCCTGGCAAAGGTGGAAAACTTGTGAGACCCAGAAAAACAAGGCAGTCCCGTCAAGTTCCGGCTCTCACAGGTTTCACTGTAGGAGGATAACATACACTATGTTTTGAGAATTTCTCTTCAATCTTGAGTCTTCCCATTGAACCTACTCAGAGGCTCAAAACCAATTCAAAACTGACTGAACATAAATTTTAAAAAAGTTTAATGTGGTGAAATATTACTTTTTACAATGATCAGAAACCAAGGCTTCCACTTAAGTTTATGGGAGAAGGGGTTGAAACCTCTTCAAACCCAAATCTCTCTCCTTTTCTGTTCTTACACATTCTTTTTCTTTTTTGCATTATCTTTTCTCTTTGGTTTTTTGTTTTGTTTTTTACATTGTTAAAGGTATTATCATCACATCACAATATGGAAAACAAATTTTTAAAAATAGAACGAGAATTCCATAACTTTTACATAACCACCAAGAACATTTTGCTGTGCTTCTTCACATTTTCTTGGGGTTTTTAGATTTGTTATTAATATTATTATAATCATTTTATGCACATAATTTTGAAACCTGCTTTTTTATCTTAACAGTGTATCACAAGCATTTTCAATGCTGGTAAATAGTCTTGAAATTATGACTGCCTAAAAGTCCCTGGGAAACCCTGGTGGCATAGCGGTTAAGAGCTACAGCTGCTAACCAAAAGGTCAACAGTTTGAATCCACCAGGTGCTCCTTGGAAACCGTATGGGGAAGTTCTACTCTGTCCTATAGGGTCACTATGAATCAGAATCAACTCTACAGCAACGGGTTTTTTGGGTTTAAAAGTCTCTGTGTGGCGAAAACGGTTAAACACTTGACCCCTAGCGCAAAAAGATTGGTGGTTTGAACACACCCAAAGGTGCCTTGGAAGACAGGCCTGGCAGTCTGCTTCTGAAAGGTCACAGGCTTGAAAAGCCTATGGAACAGTTCTACTCTACATACATGGGGTCTCCATGGGTCAGAAACAGCTGGAAAGCAACTAACAACAGCAGTACTTCGTTTTAAGTAATGACACCATAATTTTCTCAATACTCAATTGTCTCTTGTTAGACAATTAAGTTGTCACTTTTTGAGGAGCTCACTTTTCTATGAAAGGAAATGTCTGCAAGAATGAGCCCACCTTCCCTGGTCACTGCTGCTTTGGCCAGTGTAGGGGCTGCTGTTTGAACTTAATTAGCTCATTCATTAACAGTAGCTGTCCACACCTCCATGTCCATCAGCAGCTGCTCCTAAAGTCACAAAGTGGGAAGGAAATTTCTCGATTGTCTGGTCCAATCTTTTTTTCAGCCCAAATGAGCAACACTGAGCTCCCATTGCTAATGAGAGTGTAGAGTCAGCCCTAACCCCCGGACACCATCCTGTCTCTCTGTCCCCTCTGGGATGTCACTAAAACACTGGCAGGTCCAGCTTTTAAAGCAGCAATGGCAATCTGTGGCATCAAAAGGAATCCCATTCCATTTCTGCACTATTTTTCAACATTGAGATACAAAACTCTTTATTTCCTGCTTGTTGGTTTAATCTTCTCAAGCATGCTGAAAACATATCATCACCGTGATTTTAACCTATTAAGTATTCTCCGGGGGAAAAAACCCCAGCAAGATTTAATTTAAGGTCAAAGAGAAGGGGAAAAAACTACCATCACTTGGACACATTCCAAAGTGGTTAATTACATTTTATCTGCGAAATTATCTTGTTACTTTAATCATATATGGTAATAATCATCATTTCTTATCTTTGCTCATTTCAGGACTGCTGGTTCAATTACTACCACTACTGTGTTCCACCCCCAACCAAGAGTGGTTTCTCTTCATTTGTGCCATTTTTGGAAGGACCCCCAATAGGTGGAAAAGCTTAAATTAATAAAACAGGGAAAGGGAGGGGGGAGAAGGAGCCGATTATTCATAGAATTATTCATCTTCCAAAAGGATTCTCTGCAGAATTCCTTTAATAACAAACACCCTTGTCCATTTTAAATATTTTAATTTTCATTAATTTCATTTTATGTACAACTCCTTAGAATCACAATTGCTGTATTAAAATGAGCACACCTTTATTTGTGAGTAAGTATTCAGATAGCAATGGAGGATGCAGCTAGAAGGCACTGATGGAAGCACTTCAGTTCCCTGCTTCTCAGGCTTGTCTGTGCAGACAAATCATCCAGGGATCTTGTTAAAATGCAGATTCTGATTCAGCAGGTCTGTGGCAGAGCCTGAGAGTCTGCATTTCTATCAAGTCCCAGGTAACGCTGATGCTGAGGCTCCACAGACCATGGAGAAGTAAGGCTCCAGGTGAATCCATGGTTCATTGGATACAGGTGGCTTTAGTATGAGGAAAGCCTGCAATGAGCCCTACTCAACTCTGCTACCAAGAATTGTGTCCTTGGAGCTAATCTTCATCCCCTCTTTTCAACTCAAGCCCATTTTACATTTTGAAAATAGAGGAGAACCTATCACCTGCACCTTTATTTGATCATTTAAATTCATCTTGCTCCTCCTTTCTCCATTCTTATCAAAACGATTCCATTTCCTTTCACCTTTCTTCAAAGACTTATTGTCTAACCATATAGCAGGAATTTATCAATAAGAGATTGTAAAAATAATCATGAAAAAAAAATCCTCCATCACTTCCCTATTCGTCAATACTCAGTATTTTAGAGGCTACTCTAATCACTTGTGCAACTGTGGAATTATTGTCAGGTTTAGAGATTAATCTGCCCCTTGTCTGTCTGTCTCTGTCTCTCACTCCTTCACCATGATGTTATTTTTGGTCACTTCATTTCCTATCAGAAGGTGGTCTCACTCATTCAACAATTATTTATTATGGACATGGCATATGCAAGACAGTGTTCTTGACACTGGAGATTATCAATGGTGAACAAAACAATACAATTATGTGCTACCAGGTTTGGTAAAATATTGAGCAAGGAATAATGACAAAATGTGTAACTATAAGTGGGTGCCAGATTACTTGGAACCTTGGATTCTTTTCTATTTGTAGACTCCCACAGAAAGTTTATCTGTTCACATTTTATCATGCTGGAGATCCCCAAGTTTATATCCCCATATACTTTCAGGCCCATATTTCAAATTGATTTTATGAATGCGACAAGCCAAATCACGCTAATCCTCTTCCCTCTCAAATCAACTCTCTTTCTTTTATTTTTCCACGCATGTACTGACACTTCCACTCTTTCACACAGCCGGTTCTAGACCTCGGCCTTCTCTGCCTCCTTCATATCTTACAGTCAATGCACCTCCAAGATCTGTTGATTCTTATTTCACAATATCTCAAAAATTTGACTTTTCCTGCCATCCTACAGTTATTCTCCTCCAAGAAGATCAACTACCAATGGTCTCTCCATTTTCTAAGTTTGATATATACCCATTCATTTATTCACTTTTCCTTGTTTAACATTTTAATAAATATTTATTAAGCACTTCCTTCGTGAAATATTATGTGGGGTGCTTAATTATAAAGATAATTAATACCTAGATCCCAGCCTTTAATTTTGTATAATCTAGTTAGTACCACAAACATGTACAAGGTTTTACGTATATACATTTTCTCTGTAGTTTAGGTTTCATAATGATGTATAACTCATTGATTGGCCAGGGGATTGGGTTTTTGTTAGCCTGATTGGAGCTGGGATTGAGCCTTTACCAAAATACAAAGCAGTGAGTGAGAAGCCAGCATGCCCTTAGAATAATACAGCTGCTGGGCTTGAGAGGCTCTGGGCTTTGCGCATCCGAAACAGTGGGTGACAAAGGTGATTAGAATGTGTATGCTAATCATGGTGGGAGGTGATAGGAAAAACAGACAAAGGGCTTGATGTAACTACACTTACAGCTATTAGAAAATACATATTACTCTCTAGTACTTAACACCTTTTATTTGTTTGACACTTGTGTTTACAAAGGTAATGTCTTAGGAATACAAGCACACATTTGAGCAGAACAGGCTCTACTTGATTGTACTGCAGTTACACTATATGGTCTGTGCTATTTCTGTGTTCCAAGTGGGACTATAAGATCCCTGAGAAGAGACACACTGTTTTGCATTCTTCTGTATGTGCTACTGCAAACTGCTCAGATCTGGACACTACGTCATCTGTTTTCACAGAATCTACGCAATCTTTCCTTCCTCCAGTATTAGATGACTCTGTTCTTGTTGGCCACAGCCCTTGGTGGTTGGCATGACACTGGCGTCAAGTTATCTTGGTTCCTAGAACCCCTCCCAACCACTTCTATCCATTCCTCTTACTCAGTTCTTCAAGAGCATCTCAGGTGATGCTACCTCCATACAGCCTTGCCACTTCCTACAGGCAGAAATCATGTCTCCCTTTCAAGGGCACCTACAACACAAGGTCTTTTATGCCTTACATTTCAACATGTTAGTTTAGCACATTATTCCATGCTGCCTTCCACTGCTCAGTCCTTGGTTCCCATGCGTAAGTCCAGCTTCCCCAAATGATTGCAAATAGATTCAGAGCAGGGACAAGACCTCAGGGAAGTCATTTTAATTGAGCTATTGATGTATTCCCAGGATCTGACAATTGCACTGGTGTTAGAATCAGATGCAACAAGGTTTTTGTTTCCCCCACATAAGACCAAGGTGAGTAATACTGTTCAATATACTAGCTATAGCTAATGATTTTTACATAAAAGAAATTTCACAATCTCTTTTCAAAGTCTAATTTTCTACATCTGACTGCTAATGACAGTATGCAAAGGAACTTATCAGAAATTATTTCTCAGGCTGCTTTCAGAACTCTTACCTTTCCCAGTGGCTACACACATTAGGGTCTTCAAGATTCAGAGGGGAGGTGGTCCCGATCCAGTGGCATAACAGTAAACAGATAGAGCCCAGGCATGAGTTCAAAGAAATAAGCATTTTTTTTGAAGAACAACCTATGGGGGGAAAAAAAAAAAGATCCAAATTAGCTATGCATTAAAATGACCCAAACAGAATTCTTCCCAGTCCAGCAACCATTTCGTACCAGTTGTCACTAAGGCTGAAACATGCATAATAAGCTATGTATTTAAACAGAGGGGTCACCAGATTTCATGGTTCATGAGAGAGAGGTATTTCTTATGTTGTGCAGGGTGGCTACAGTTTTGTAAATTACTAAAATGTGCAAATCATCATTAATTGCCACCACAACAAAAGCCCCTCTCATCCATGCCAGCCGACATTAAAGAAATGCATCAGAACAACTCAGAGCAACACAGGCTTCCAGATTCTCTCACCAGGCTTATTTCCCTTCAGGAAGAAGAGGGCACGCAGAGCAATCTGGCCTCATTTGTCCTAGAGGATAAATGATGAAACAGAAGCTCCATTGACTCAAGAGCGAGGTACCTCAGGCTCAAACTGAGACTCATCCAAAAATTCCTTCAGTGTGCCCTGACTACCTGCTCTATCCTAGGCACTTTGCAAAGCCTGAAGACCAAGTAGGCAACTAGACCCATCCTTATCCATTAAGATGCTTATAATTTGTAGTCTTGACTTAGATTCCTGAAATTTAGTGCTCTAGTTTCTCCATCTGCTGAAAAGAAATGAAACCAGCTAGCTTACAGAGGTGTTTTTTTTTTAAAAAGATACATAGAAAAGAATATAAAGCTGTTTACAGGTTGGTATTGGAGAAAATGAATGTGATATTATCAAAGGAGACCATAATGGAAAAACAAATAGTAACATATTTAGAAGCCTGGACAAGAGTTAGGCAGGCAAAGGAAGTAGAAAAAGAAGGCGAAGAATATTCCAGGCAGAGGGAACTGCATGTGCAAATGTCCAGATGCAAGGGAGGGCCAGGCACATTTAGAGAGCTCCGATTAATTCATGGTAAGAGAATAAGATGGCTGGAGAAACAGGAGGTACATCATGAGTTTTATAAGCCATAATAAAGTATGTGAACTTCATCCAAGGATAACAAGGAGCTAGTAAAGGGTGTGGAGTCCCAGGACGGGGCAAATGAACTTCTGAAAAATCAGCCATTGAAAACCCTATAAAGCAAAATTCTACTCGGACACACATGGGTCACCATAAATCAGTCACGTCAAAGGCAACTAGTTTGGATTAAAGGGTGCACAGTGACCAGCAGATGACATTAGAAAGATCACTCTGGCTGTAGGGAAGGGGGAACTGGAGGGGAAACTAGTAGAGGGAGACCAGATGAGATACAACTGGCTGAATTAAGGAAGTAGCATTGGGGTTACAGGGAATTGAATGAATATTGGGGACTTTTAGAGGGTGGAATCAATAGGACTTGGTGATTAAATATAGGATTAAAGGAGAGGAGGGACTCCTGGTTTAGCCCATAGGTGGATGGTAAGTCCCTCATTGAGATGGGAAGCACACAAGTGGCAGCTCTGGAGAGAGAAAGCTTTGGGTTCAGTTTTAAATATGTCAAGTTTGAGGCTCCTATGAGCTATTCACATGAAGCCTCCGCAGGCATTTACTGAATACCTACTATATGCCAGGCACTTCACCAGGCTCTGTTGTGTAGTTGTTATAATGACATGTGCCTGGGAATCATATGCTATTTCTTGCTTTCTGGGAACTTAGCACTTAGCAAAAAGGAAAAGTTTAGTTGTCAGACTATGTCATCTAAATCATTACAAAAATGGACATGGAAAAGAAATACCTGATGTGGCAATCTGCTTCCATAAAGATTTACAGCCTTGGAAACCCTTCGGAGTAGTTCTACTCTGTCCTATAGGGTCACAATGAGTAGGAATCGACTCCATGGAAGTGGGTTTGGTTTTGGTTTCGGACCCATTTACTAATTAAAATAAAATAAGCATTAACCTGCTTGTTGGTAAACTAGCAAAACTAGCAACAATAGGCTAAATTATATGACCAAAACAGCCATTTCCAGGGTGAGAGCTAACTTCCCGCACGATGAGGTCATCATTTTTTAGTTCTTGGCAATGGAATTTATTGAATAATAATCTTGCGGTTTGAAGAGTTAAGTTTATCTTAAAACCAAATACGTAATAAACAATAACAAAAAGCTTATCTTAGGAAATCATTTATCCTAAAGATAAATGGAGGAAAGATCAAATGAGGAAGTATTAAATTCTTTAAAATAAGATTGTTTAGAGGGACAAACTTAAGTGGTTTTTTTTGACAGTTATATTACGACAAGAAAATTGAAGAAGAAATGATGCCTTTGAATTACAGTGTTGGTGAACAATACCGAATATACCATGGACTGCCAGAAGAACGAACAAGTCTGTCTTGGAAGAAGTACAGCCAGAATGTTCCTTAGAAGCCAGGATGGCGAAACTTTGTCTCACATACTCTAGACATGTCCTTGGAGAAGGACATCATGTTGGTAAAGTAGAGGGTCAGTGAAAAAGAGGAAAACCCTCAACGAGGTGTACTGACACAGTGGCTGCAACAAGGGGCTCAAGCATAACAACAATTGTGAGAATGGCACAGGATCGGACAGTGTTTCATTCTGTTGTACATGGTGTCACTATGAGTCAGAACCGACTGGACAGCACCTAACAACAACATCTATCTCTGAACTCCACAAAAGCTAAAATGAAAGAAAATGTTTGATTTGGAATAAGAAAAAAAAAATCATGAATTTGAAGGATAATTAAAAGACAGTGTAAGTCATCACTAAATAATTCCAACCTATAAAGCATAAATGGGTAGCCAAAATATGGCTTACAGATTTATTCAAATTATTGATGTTTCTCACAGGCTAACTACCATGAAGTTGTAAAATCAGAAGTTTAACATTATATAAGGAAACAAGTTGTTCCATTCAACAAGAATAAATTAAAAATAATAATTATTATAATAATAATAAACAATAACAGCTAACATTTCCTAGCTGTTTACTGTGTGCCAGGCGCAGCGCTAAACTCCTTAGGTGAGTCATCTATTTAACCTCATGGTGGTTTATCTAAGAAGTAAAACTATTATTATTCCCATTTTACAACTGAAGATATGTAATGTATTGCTAAGGAGCCCTGGTGGCTCAACGGTTAAGTGCTTGGTTGCAAACAGAAAGGTTGGCGGTTTGAACTTACCAGTGGCTCAACAGGAGAAATACCTGGCAATCTGCTCCTGGAAGGATTAAAAAAAAAACAAAAACCAAATCTGTTGCCATCAAGTCAATTCCGACTCATAGTGACCCTATAGGTCAGAGTAGAACTGTCCCATAGGATTTCTAACGAGCGGCTGGGGGATTCGAACTGCCGACCTTTTGGTTAGCAGCCAATCTCTTAATTACTGTGCCACCAGGGCTCCCCCGTAAGTATTACAGCCTAGAAAACCCCAAGGGCAGTTCTACGCTGTCACATGAGGTCATCATGAGTTGGAATCAACTCGATGGCATCTAACAACAACAATATACTGCTAGTCTTTTCTTCATCTATCAAAAAGAGAAAACCTTTCACATATTTGCTTGTAACAATAACATGGCGAATATTGCTCTGTCTCATTGCTTTCTCTATGCCAGGATAAGTAGTTTTTATGAAGGGTGAAATATATGTTTTAACGTTCATCATTTCCTCAAAGACAAAAGGAAGGCTGGTAAACAGTATTCTGCCATCTATTCACAAACAGTTACCCAAATTGGGAAGCTTATATTCTGAGTCACAATCTCAGACCAAACCATCCATTCATCAATTAGAAATGTGTAGTCTATAAAGTAAGAAATTGCTGTAAGTAATGAATCAAACTGCCAAGAAAAAGAAAGAGGCTGTATGCTCGCTTTTAATGTAAAACTTTTACCGGTCATCTTCTGGTTTCCCCTTTTGCTTTGCACCCGATGCATCACCATGTGAGGGCTCTAACCTCCCCATCAGAGTGGCAGAATAAACGTAGAATTTGGTCACTTCTCATTGCTTTTGCAATTCGGCATACAGAAAAATCAAATTGCATTGAGAAGTTGCAGGTGGCTTTTGAGGAAGGGGAACTATCAACACATTGAATATATATATGTATGTATATATATCACTTGGTTTCTTATTCTTAAAGCATTTTCATAATTAAATTTTAAAAAATTAACTGAATTCTAGAATAATTTACATTAGCGAATAAAATGTAACAAACCAAAAGATCTGCTAGATCAAGATGCAGGGATAATGCACACTCACATAAACTGATTAAACTGTATTAACAATTCAAATGTTAAATGCGGCTGGAAGAGAAGACAGTTTCAGAAATATGCCAATGAGAACGATAGAAATACAACATTTCATTACACTCAGAAACACAAATTATCCTTTTTTTTTTTTTGTTGCTCCGTCTCATTTAATAAGGGCTTTGTTCACAACCATAATAAAAAGTTGATAGGGCATGAATATACCTGTCTTAATCATCTAGTGCTGCTACAACAGAAATACCACAAGTGGATGGTTTTAACGAAGAGAAGTTTATTTCCTCACAGTCAAAGTAGGCTAAAAGTCCAAATTCAGGGCATCAGTTCCAGGGGGAGGCTTTCTCTCTCGGCCTTCTCATCAGTGTTCCCCGGGACTAGGAACTTCTCAGCGCAGGGACCTGAGTCCAAAGGACACGCTCTGCTCCCGGCACTGCTTTCTTGATGGTATGAGGTCCCCCTGTCTCACTGCTCACTTCTGTCTTTTATATCTCAAGAGATTGCCTCAGGACACAATCCAGTCTTGTAGATCAGGTCCTGCCTTACTAACACGACTGCCACCCATCCTCCCTCATTAACATCACAGAGGCAGGTTTACAACATACAGGAAAATCACACAGTACCAGGAATCACGGCCTAGCCAAAATGATACACACATTTTTTGGGGGACATAATTCAAACCATGACAATACCCTTTACCTATTTTATTTGTTTTCTTTTATAAGTTTTGGTGAGTAAATAGGGGTACTCTTGTTCTTATGCTTACTCGGAGGGAGAAAAAGGTCAATACAT